AGTGGATAGAAAAGGTGGAGAAAGGGGAGTTACCTAATTTCAATCTAAGCCCTGATGGAATCTTAAAGTTTCGAAATCGTATCGTGGTACCTAGGGATGAGGAATTGAAAAGGGAGATTTTGGAGGAATCACATTGCTCTAGGTATACGGTGCACCCAGGGAATAATAAGATGTACCGAGATCTTAGAAGTCTGTATTGGTGGGAAAATATGAAGGCGGAAATTGCCCAGTTTGTGCAAAAATGTCTTACGTGCCAACAAGTAAAAGCTGAGCATCAAAAGCCGTCAGGATTGTTACAGCCTTTAGAGATCCCTGAATGGAAATAGGAAAATATAACGATGGATTTTGTGTCAGGATTGCCACGAACACAAAAGGGGCATGATGCAATTTGAGTGATAGTGGATAGATTAACTAAGACTGCACATTTTCTGCCAGTGAATATGAAATATCCTTTGGATAAACTTGCTAAACTTTATATGGATGAGGTAGTGAGACTACATGGGGTACCAGTGAGTATTGTATCGGATAGAGACCCTAGGTTTGTATCCCGATTTTGGCAGAAATTGCAAGAGGCTATATGAACTAAATTAAGCTATAGTACAGCGTATCATCCGCAAACTGATGGACAATCTGAGAGAACCATTCAAACTCTTGAGGATATGCTGAGAGCCTGTACTGTGGATTTTAGAGGAAGTTGGAGCCAATACTTAACTTTGGTTGAGTTCGCGTATAACAATAGTTATCATTCCTCTATTCAAATGGCCCCATATGAAGCATTGTATGGACGAAGATGTCAATCTCCAATCCATTGGGAGGAAGTAGGAGAGAGAAAAATTATAGATCCGACCACAATACCATGGGTTGAGGAAGCGTACGAGAAAGTAAAAATGATTCGCCAGAGGCTTCAAACAGCCCAAAGCCGTCAGAAAAGCTATGCCGATCATAGAAGGAAAGACTTGGAGTTTGAAATTGGGGATAAGGTGTTTCTTCGGATTACACCATTAAAAGGAAAGATCAGAGCAGGAAAAGGGAAAAAGTTGCAACCACGATATATAGGACCTTTCAATGTACTTCAGCGAATAGGAAAAGTGGCTTATCGACTTGAGCTACCAGCTAGTTTGTCTAGGATCCATGACGTTTTCCATGTTTCTTTGCTTAAGAAATATCATCCGGATCCAACTCACATTTTGCCACCTGAAGATGTTGAACTTGACGAGTCCCTAACGTATGAAGAACGACCTATTCAAATACTGGATCGAAAGGTGAAGGACCTGAGAAACAAGCAGATTCCTTTAGTAAAGGTTCAATGGAAGCATCATGAAGTGGAAGAAGCAACTTGGAAGTTAGAAAAGGACATGCAAGAGAAATATCCCGACCTGTTCACGACCAAAGGTATGAATTTCGAGGTCAAAATTCTTTTCAGGGGGAGAGAATGTGAGGACTCGCAAATTTCTTGTATTTTTCTCAAAAATACCCTTTTATTTGAAAATTATTATTTATCAAAGTCCACTACCCAAATATTTCATACTAAGTGTAAATAAACCTAGAAAATAGAGTTTTACGCTTCGGTTTCAAGTTTGGAGCAAAATTAGGATTTTCGCGATTTTTCGCCGAATGAATTTTCGGTACAGAGTAAGGATTAATTTTGGGGATTAAAAGTGACTTTTAAGTGAGAAATAATATGTGATTAGTGGCAATGATATAAGGTTAGTGAATGGGAAGTAAAAACACTAGTACGTGAGTTTTTAAGAAAAACGGCGCGAACCGGCGGGTCCCGCGCACTACCGATTGAACGCACCACTTGACCACCATTTTTCTTACCAAATAAGCTTATTGACTTGTGAGCCAAATATCTTCTTAAATTGCAGCAGCTTTGACCGAATTATGAGGCTTAAAATGCAAGGAAAGAAAGAGAAAAAAAGAAAGGTGGTTCTTGACCAAGACTTAGTCTTTCCATTTAAACACCAAAATTCAGCAATTTTCCTCTTCATTTGCTGCTGCTGGCCGAGATGAAGGAGAAGAAAAACACTAAGGGAAAACACTCCATTTCCTTCTTGATTTGCTTCAACCCAAGTAACAAATCTAATTCTAAACCGATTAAAGTACTAAGTGTGAGTTGAGAAGCTTGAGGAACCAAGAAATATCAAAAGGGGGTGAAGGATCACTCTATCAAACCTTGCTTTTGAGGTACAAACATTTGATCATGATCTTTGTTGCTTTAAATTTTTCTTTAAGATGTTTATTTAGCTTAAGTTTTGGCTTGATTTCATGATTATGCAAGTGGGTGTGATGAATTTGGAAGTTTTCCCCTTTTTATATGATGAACTAGGGCTTGGGGAATTTCTGCCCTATTTGATGTATGAAGTATATATATTACAATTGAGGTTTTATAAGGGGCTTCGGTAGTGATTAGAACAAGAAAATTGAGAAAGTTCCATTGATTACAAAAAATTTCAGAATCTGGAAAATTTTCCCCAACATTCTGTCCGAATTTGTAACCCTATGTTAGAGGCCGAATTGGCCTTAGGTCAGAGAATGAAAGTTGTATAGAATGGTATTTTATAGGTGCCTACAAAATTTCAGCTCAAACGGAGCAACGTAGGTCGTGAAAAGTCCAAAATACCCTTACTGTTTTAAGTATTTCCCCATCAGTCCGTGTGATCAGTTTGTCCAGTTTATCGTATTTTTTTCACTAGGATACGTACTGATTTAGCATTTTTCCAAAACATGAAAGTTGTAGCATTCTGTCTTAGCTTTCAAATGCCTCTAAGAACACCTGAATTAGACTTTTGTACTCTGAGATATGTCCATTACAGTGTAACGCGGTTGAAAAGCCGACAAGTTAGATTTTGGTTTTGTAATTTGAGAATTTGACTAAGTTGCACTAGAAACTGGACTAAGTGACCTTCATGAACATTGTAACCCTGTGTCTTAGCTTCGAAACGGCATAGGTTGCGCCTCAATCCGATAAACGTAGCCTCGGATATGTTATTTCCGCATTCATACGTCGAATCTGTCTTGTGCTAAATTGAATTTCTGCACTTGTTACTGTTGTGATTCTTGTTATTATGATATTGTGAGCCTATGGAACGGCTCTTGACATGAATTGCTGATATATATGATGTTGGGTTCTGGTTGAGGAAAAATAATGAAGCCTAAATGGCTGAAAAATTAGGTAAACACAAAGGGCATGCTGCCCGAATTTTTACTCGAGAATTAGAAAACTATATTAGCGACTTGAGTAAAGGCTAAGTGATTATCACTTGAACTGGCAATGACCTTTGCTACTTTGTTTAGCGAGGGTTATACGTTAGGACATGGCCGAACTTGTACCCTTGAGGAAAAGACATAATGGCCAATGTAAACTTGAATTTCCTTGTACTTTCAACTCAAGTGTTATTTCCAAGCATCTATGTTACAAAACCTTACGATTTGAAAAGCGAGCAAGTGTTTCACGAGTGTCTTTCAAATGAATTTCAATTGGTCGATTCTTAATGAACGGAACGTTTAAGTTTCGAATCCTACTCGTGTTTCAAAGTTCTCAAACTGAAATTTTATCGCAAATTTGGACTCCAAATCCGGAGTACCACCTCGACGCGAGAACTAGAAGCACTATTGTGGTGAGTGCTTCCAAATATCCGATTGTACTTGATACATATGTTCCTTACTTGACTTGTTTGATTACATGAAAATAAATGATAAGGCAAGGGTGTACTTTACCGCACTTGCCCTAGTATGACTTGTTCTTGCTATTGATCGTACTTGACTTGTTGTATATGTACTTGAAATATGTTTTGCCTGGAATTCCAGAAACCCTGTGGCTAGTTAATCGAGTCGAGCCGGCAAGGGCCTGGTCGATTAGATAACAAACCCTGGGTCACTTGTAATGTCGAGTGGAGTGCTATCTCCTCGACTAAACGGTATACTCGAGTATTACCACCCGTGTTTTGTGTGACGTGCGGGCCCGAAAAAGGGGGTTGATCGGTGGACGGAAATTGGCGTGTAGTGAAGTTTATTTTGGACTTGTTATTACGTGAAAGTTGACGGAGAGTCAACTACTAATTGATCAAGCTGGAATGGAGCCGAGATATGATTACCGTATCCTTATATATGAATGCAAATCTGATATTTCTTGGCTAATTGAAGTACTATTTTCCCTGATTTGACTTGTTTGCTCGCTAATTCACTATTACTATGTTATTATTTGCTTTATTGGCCAATTTGATATTTGGAACTTCATTGAGTTTCGACTCACCCTATTAGTTTTGTTTTCCTTACAGGGGTACGAGCGAAACGTGAGAAGTGTAAAGGCTAGCGTAGTCTAGTTACTTTAGACTTTGTTTTGAATTTTGGTTTTGTACTCGCGCTATTCCTCGAATGGAACATTTTGTACTTGGACTGTATACGTTTTGAACTAGTTTAAGTTTATCGAGACTTTGTACCTAGTTTTCTATCAATGTAAATTATAAGCTTGAATTGTGAATATTATCTATGGTTCTTGGTTGTGTACACGTGATTCGAGTGAGTGAGTCCTGGCGAGAGTTGGGCAGGCAGTCCGCCGAACCCTCTGGTACGCCTTAGGGGGAGGTGGGGTCGTCACACACTCTCTCTCTCTCTCTCTCTCGCCCTTGTGTTACTTTGTCTATTTCTGTCTACTGCCTTGATCAGAGCCAAATTTACGCAATGCCTCTTTAACGGTTTACAACTAAAAAGATAAGACATACTTTTAACAACTCAGCAACTTGGGACAATGCAGAGTGAGGAGAGAAATTTTCATCAAGATGAGTGAGAGGGCAAAGGGAATATCATACTAGATATCGATTGCTTCTAAGACATGATGGACAATGCAGAGTGAGGACAGAAATTTTCATCAAGGTGAGTGAGAGGGCAAAGGGAATATCATGCTAGATGACATGTTTCTAAGGGAATATCGATTGCTTCTAAGACATGACATGTTTAAGGATGGTTAATGGATGATGTCACAACAAACTGAATAATACCTGATACACTGCTTCAACCACAATATAGCGCCTCAGCTTCTCTGCACGCTTGTTCCCTTTGGTGACCTTCTCTAGCATATCTCTTAAAGACTCCATGTCATTGTGTTTGAAATATACTACTGTACTTCTGGAAAGCTGAAGGCCATTTTGAATTGCCCAGTGCACACCCTCATCCCTGCAAGAGCAACAATCCCTTTGACAACTCATACAAAACCTTTCAGACAAATTATTGTGATAAATTTGCAAGTCAACAGCTGAAAGAAACAGATATACAAAATTTGGATGAATCATGACCGACTAACATCATGTAATGATGATTGATGCCTTGTACCATGAGGGAACGGGTAGACAAGATATAACTATCACATAAATAATATCCAACATCATTGCTCAACAGGGTGGCTAATATATGCAACAAAGTAGCATGAACGAAAAGAAGAATAAGATGATGATGATAAGAGACAGAAAAAATTAATTAGGAAAGCAGGAGGAAAAAGTCAAAAGAAGTGGCAAAGAAACAGAAGATAACCAAAACTTTGAAAGGAAGAGATGTTTCAGTACCTAAAATTTATCAGCAATTCTACTAAGACATTTTAATCCCCTTTACATAGTGCCATTAATGATATGTACTTGGACTCAGATCCCCAAGCAAAGAAACATCAGTAGATGATTAATTCCTGCTATTCATTAATGAGCTAAAAACAGAAAAATCAGAAACACTCACGCAACAATGACATCTCCCTTCTTGCAAAATGCTGGAATGGCACTAAACATGGTGGAAAGTCCATAAGAGTAAAGTATGGAATCTGGAGTGCCCAAAAACTTTGCTATTCTGGCCTCACAATCAAGGTGGACATCTGTACCAAAGATTAAAAGATAATTGAGTGTCACAATGCCAAGTTAAGGGAGAAAATTTCAACCATGCTCATTGCAGTTCTGTAAATGATTAAATTAATTTATACCTATTGTTCCATAAAATCCACGAGGACCACAAGAACCGGCACCATATTTCTCCAATGATTCTGTACATGCTTCCTGTTGCACAAGTTAGGAATAAGGGATCTGTTTAAGAAAATTCAACAGCACAAGATACCATTGACAGGAAAAGTAGCTTCTCCTTACAAGTAACTTGCCATGTCCGACTAATCCTAGGTAATTTGCTGAAGCAAAGTTAATAACTTCTGTGCCATTAATTAACGTATGTGACCCTGCAGCGCTGCAAAGATACACCTGTTAATCACAATGTAGTCTTAACTGCAGTAAAATCAGAAATTGAGATACTCAAAGGAATTGTTTACTTAAACAAGTGAAGCATCACTGCTTTATTCATCACCTGGAGTCATACCATCACAGAACCAACTATTGGAATGAGGCCATTGAAACAGATGGACCCATTTCATTCAATAAAAATCAGTTAAAATTGCATATTTCCTGTCACACTTACTTTACTTATACTATCCTTTTCCTTGACAATTTCCAGACAAAATTCTATACTTCTATTTACCCCTTAAAAAAAGTCCAACTTTACTAACCATGGTCCTCACAAAAGCCAAACTTGAACATGAAATTACTATGTAGAGGCAGAATAGCCTGGCTTTACCTCTCCAATATCGGAGGTTCATATCTCATCTCATCTGTCATTTTAGGAATTAGAGGTTCAGGAACCCATTCATCACATAGCTCATCAATCTCCTGAAAATTATCAAAGTAAAGTGCACTTGTCAGATCAGCCTGGTGAACACAATTTAGAAGACGGAGACACCAAAATGTTAAGAGGTTGGATCCAGTCACAAGACATAGAATAATTCTTTCATGCAATTTAGGCTCCACAATTTTGTGCAAACTTCACCTTTGTATACTTTTATTGTGATAAGACAGGTAAGACCACATGCAGTGTAGCCCACCTTCTCATGGTCAGTTTTCTTTAAAGACAAAAAAAATGTAAACTAATATCAATTAGTGAAAAAAGAGACACAAATTGAATTATTTTCAGACGCGCATGCGAGAGAGAGAGAGATTGCAACTTTAACATCATATAAATAGATACATATTAGGGCAAAACAAACTTACCATCTTTAGATGCACTACAAGTTCAAATATATGCACTTTGCAGTCTTTCTTTTCTGAAGTGCACCAACTTGATTGCATTTGGCTGAAGAAATCTTTCATGCTTCTCTCTCTCTCTCTTTAAAAAAAAATTCCTTGCTTTCATACAATGTGATATCTTTCTTCTATATCTCTCCAGAAAGGTTTATGTCTAAAAAATGCTATGATTCTACTCCTTTAAATCCTAAGACTCTCGGAAAGAAAATTTGGCATAGATGAATCTACCAAGCATCTTAGTCAAGAATGTTTGACACCAAAATTCCCACTCTAAGACATGATATGGATAAAGACTGGTCCAGAAAGAACATATACACCAGCCTTATGAGAACAGAGTAACATACATCAACAGAATCTTACAACATTCCTTTTGAGCAATAAACAAGCAATTTTCCTATAGACACATGCAATTCCAGTATCAACAACTTTACATCCAACTCTGAGTATTACTGCAGCCTAATAGCAACTCTCTTACCAGATAAAGAATCAACACATGGAAGTGAAGGAGAAAGAGAAACGCCCAGATCAAATTCTTTTTCTTTGTCTCAAAGGGAACAACACAACCTAGGCCAACTGAAAAAGTTAAAAAAATGCAAAAAGAAAGTCCTTTGGCAGCTAGGCATCCCTGACAAACCTTCTTTGTCAATGGTCTTTTAGGTGGTTTATAACTCTTCTGCGAAAGAAGAAAAACAATGACCACAATGAGAAGACCCTCCACAAATAGATGCCCTACAAGGAAATAGGAAATGTTATAAACCTCCGAAAAGAGGAGTAAGCATTTGAGCTTTATCTGGTTTCATGAAAAACCTCCAATATTCACTCCAAAGACAACAGCTCTTGCAAAAGGAGCATCAAAAACAAAAGTGAGCCAATCCGATGCAGCTTTTAACATATCCATAGCAATTGATGCCATTGTCCTTAGCTAAATTGCATAAATACAAGGAAACAGCATTCAACCTACAAAGAAGTAAAAAGAAAGACAAACCAAAAAAATTATCATATTGGTATCTACAAATTAAAGGTTGACTAATGGCCTAAAATGATAATGTCACCATCTCAAGCATAAAAAATAACAGATATATCTTGTTAGACATGAAAATCATCTAATATTCTCAACTTAGTAATGAATATATCCAATATCCAACTCTTTGGGGTTTGGGATTGGCAATAAGCATCCTACTTCTCCTAGTGACTGATATCTAGATAGATTCTTCATCTCCTTTACTTTTCCGCACATTCAACTAAAAGAAAGGAGATTTAACACTGAAAGATATTTTAACTGCCCTTGAAGATGCAATGTCAGCGTTACACTAGAAATTGCACCTCAAGGTCCGATAGCCGTAACACATTTCGACAAAGACACCATAAAATTCTGAGATTCTTTATGGTCTAAATGTCTGTAAAAATCCACCATACAATAGTCTTGATTATTACTCTAATCCAGAAAAAGTTATATACGATGAGTTTCATTGTCATAAGATATCAAAAACTTACTAAATGAGGCCTACAAGGCTTTCCAATCATGTGCAATATAGATATGTTTGAACTTTAAATCCCATAAATCTAGCTTATAGTAATGCTCCTGTTTTTAACTAATTCTGCATTCGAACTTAGCTTCATCTTACATTATTGTAAATTTAGTGCTAATAGCAATTAGAAACAGAATTACAAGCATAAAGATGAGATGTTTCTAGCCAGGGCAATAACTCCAATATATTCTTGCAATTAAACCATCCGACCTATATGATCAAGATCACATCCAATCAAACAGTAGCTCCTACAATGATTCATGAATGTGAAAAAGAGAAAAACCAGGAACATATTTGGGCAAATTGTAACACATTGAAACTGGTGATAACAGTGATTTAATCAGATCATATCAATCACTCAAGTAACAATCACATTCTAACATTTTCACCAAAAACTAACACTAATCAACAGCTTAGGAAAATTAAATCTAGTTAAACAGAGGAATTTTAGTGCAGGAGAATAATACAAAAGAGAAAGAGTTAATTTTATTAGTCTGTTTCATTTTTTTCTTTGCTGCACAAAGGAAAATTAAGTGTAATGCCTTTTATAGTTAAAAATCTTTATCAATTAATTTTGTAGTTATTACTTCTGACAAAGTTTGGCTGTTCGACCAGTAAACCCAGTGAACCAGCCACTTAACCGAGTTGGGTTTTTAATTTGATGGAACAAACAAAATGACCCAATAGGTGAAGCCGAACACATTATTTTTGATAAACATTTTTGTACCTCTTTAAATGTTTTGGATTTAAAAGACAACCCATTAGATGTAGTGACTGCAGGCTGTGTTATGTTGCTTGTATAAAATTATTTATTCAATACTTCTGAACTTTTGAAAGTCTATGCTATCAGGTAAATCATTCTCCTAATCTCATTTTAGTATTTCTTTTATTTTTTTTGGTATAAGATTATAAGAACCAACAACAATGGCAATAATAAAAGCCAATCACAACTCAAACTGGCCCACAAATTGTGGAAATTAAAACTCAATGAGAGAGATTTATGACAGTGCATCAATAGAATCAGAAACTCATCGTTTAGCAACGGGACAGCAGCATTCACATTTTGCAATCCTAATTTCTGTAAGAAAGAAAGCAGCTACCTTTTCTATTTTTCGTCTAAAAGCATCAACGAATCGAAATACAATAAACCAGAAAATACTGCTGTATCACTTTTGTTCAAGTTTATGTGAAAAAATCAGAATGTGCCCAAAATTTTTTATCAGTCAACCTGAAAATAAAGGAGAAGCTATTGCCTAAAATCCTCTACAGGTATATGAACAGTAAACCCAAAAATAATGCCAATTTACTCGCAGTTTCTATCCAAATCCATGTAAAACAATCAGAACAAACCAAACATTTTCTATCAAAAACCTGAAAAGAAAGCAGCTTTCTTAATGTATTTTCGTCTAAAAACCTCTACTGAATAATCAACCATTAAACAGAAAAGAATGCCTGATCAATACCACTTTATATTCCAATCAATAAAAATAACCAGAACACACCCAAAATTTTTGTCAAAAAACCAACAACCTAACCCCAAGGCAATGAACTCATATCGAAATGCAAATTGCAGTCTTAATTAATCAACTTACAACTTTCGAAACAATTAATAAACTAACCAACCACAACTTAGAGCACATTGTGAAAACCAATCAAACCAGAAAAAAAAAAAGAAAGAAAATTCAAATAAAAAAGAAGAAAACTTTGATATCCCAGAATCCGATAATTAGCAGAAGGGATCAGATGATGCGGAGGAAGAAGATTACCTGGGACATTGACGATACTAGTCTGTGCAAGAGGAGACCTCAGACTCTGATCATTTTGCTTCTGGGGTACAAGTAAGTGAAAAACAAAAGCAAGGGGGCTACTATGCAAATGATAAAGAAAATGTAAGTAATAGTTATTTAAAGGGATAATTTCAGAGACTTTCCTTGAGGTTTCTGGTTATTTTACTGGCCTCCCTCCAAGTTTCAAACATTACACTAATATCTCTTGACATTAATTATATTGTAACATTTAGATCCAATCAATAATTATAAAGTAATATTAAAAGAGAGAAAATAATGTGATTCCATCGGTGCCTTTCATTTACTATATTAGTTAATTAATTTAATACTAACTCATACTACATTAAAGGAAATTTTGATAGAAAATAGTTTATGTAACATCATTAGTTGAAACACCAGTATTGCCCTTACTTAAATGTTAAATCAAACGATAACTTAAGCTACCTTATACAAAACTATTAGGGTATTACATGGATAAATACAACAATCACAAGACAATAAAGTGGATATTTGTGCAAATCACAAGGGGATTAAGTAGATATTATGATTTCATCACACGCACTTTTAAAACGTGTGTAGTCTAATTCACCATAACTGATTATGCTTTTTTTTTCTATTTTTCACTTTAGATAAAAGTATAGGAGGATTATATAGTTATTTTGAAATTTAGAGTTGTCTGGCATTATGCAAAACCATAGGAAATTTGTATGTAATTTACCCAAAGATATTTCATTATTTTTATAGATGATTATTCAAATTATACATATGTATATCTGATGAAAACAAAAAATGAAGCTTTTGATAAATTTTAAAAATACAAAGCTATTGTTGAAAATCAAAAGGGAAAAAGCATTATGGTCCTTCTCTATCGAAGATGAATATTTTCCAGATTCCTTTTCTTTGTATTACGAAGAAAATGGAATAATTCATTAACGGTCTGCTTCTTATTCTTCTTAGCAAATTGACTTGGGTTAAAGGAATAATAGAACTGAGCAGACATGGTGAATTCTATGCTTTTGAATTCTAATAAATTGTCATCTGACTCTTTTGGGATGAAGCTTTATACACCACTTGCCACATTCAAAATAAAGTCCCATTAAGAATATTTATGGTTTCACCTTATGGAGTAAACGTAATCTGAATTACTTGAAAGTGTGGTGGTATATTGCTTTTTACAAAATTCCTTATCCTTGCAAAAGCAAACTAGGACCTAGAGGAATTAAAAAGTGTTTTTATTGGGTATGCTAAAACCTCAAAAGCATATAGATTACTAGACCTAGATTATAATATTCATACATATTGTGGAATCCATACATATTGAGTTTTTCGAGAATAAATTCATCTCTAATTCCATCATTGATGATCAAAGTAACAACAGTCCAACAAAATTAAATTAGCAATTTGTGAAAGAAGGAAAGAGAAATCCTTTGGTCCTGATTTTGTTTTAACTGTATCCAATGTTTCCCTTGTTGAAGGAGACAGAACTAAAGTGTTGAATAAAATACCTATTGTACTAAATATAGAAGAAGACACAGAAACATTTAGTAAAGCTATGATATGTATAGATGTATAGATGTAGCTTTAAAGAAGTTATAAATGATGAAATGGATTCTATAATGTCAAATAATACATAGGTCTTCATGGACTTACCAGTTACCACCTGGCTCACACCCAATAAAAGGCAAGTGGGTATTTAGAAAGAAGTACAACATAAATGGTTCTATCCAATCTTTCAAGACAAGATTAGTTATAAAAGGATTTACTCAAAAAGAGTTGATTATTTAGATACTTACGCTCTTGTGGCACAAATAACTTCAATTAGGCATTTGCTTTGGCTTCCATATATGAATTGCATATGCATCAAATGGATGCTAAAACTGTATTTTTAAATGCTAACTTGAAAGACGAAGTATATATGGAGTAACTTGAGGGATTTATACTTCCTGAAAATGAACGCAAAGTCACTATATAGTTCAAAACAAACTCTTAAGCAATGGCACGAAAAATTCGATAATGCAATCTTAGGTAATGCGTGTATTCAAAATTCACAAAAGAATATTGAGTAATTGTTTGTCTTTACATCAATGACATGTTTATATTTGATATATATATATATATATATATATATATTGGCAATAAACGAGCTCAAAATGTATCTTTCTTCGATGTTTAAAATGAAAGGCATTGATGAAGTAAATACTATATTGGGAATTAATAAAAGTTACTAAACATGCAAGAGGATATTCCTTGAATCAATCTCACTATAGAGACAAATTTCTTAATAAGTATAACCATCTTGATATCAAGGAAGCTAGTACTCCTCATGACCATAGTATGAAGTTGATTGAAAATAGTGATAAAATTGTTACCCAATTAGAGTATGCTAGTGCTATAAGGAATATTATGTATATTGCATACTGTATTCGGCTTGATATAGCTTTTGCTTTATGCAAATTGTCAAGATATATAAGTAAGCCTAGTTACTATCATTAGAAAGCAATTGCTAGAGTACTCGGATATTTAAAAAGAATGTAGGATTTGTGCATAGTTTTTTTTCCTGATTATCCATGTGTGCTTTGAGGCCATAGTGATGCAAGTTGGATAACTAGCACGGATGACAATAAATCAGCATCAGATTTGA